TTAGACTCGCCCGGACGCCTTTTTTTTCTGGAAAAAATAAATCTGGGTTAATATAGCTTTTTTACGACCTTCAGGGACATGAGTTGACGCTCGTGAGGGGCTCTTGATGCAAGGGGTTGGATCTATCCTCCCTATTCCTCGGATCAAACCCGATTACCTCCAGTTGCCCAGGTGGTGCATGACCCCCCAACGGGTTTGGCACTTCCTCAGGATTATGCATATATATATATATATATATATATATATATATATATATATATAATATATATAATATATATATATATATATATATTATATATATAAATATATATAATATGGTGTTTCAAATTGATGGACCCGATTTGCATATATACTGCTTAGAATTTGGGTCCTTCAATTTAAAACGCCCTGTATATTGAAAATTTAGTGGGCTATACAAGGTCCGCTTCGGCTATCGTATCTCTCACGTGTAAAATTTACGATATCAAAAGTAACAATCCCAAAAACCCCAATGGAAATAAGTTATTTTGACTTTTTTTGGAGTTATTACCCTAGTCAGGGATGGGGAACATGCGGCCTTAATTAAGGCCGCATGCGACCTTCTAGGGTAGTAATGCTGCCTTATTAGATTACAGCTAATTTTAATGCGTTCTCACTAGATTACAGCTAACTTTAATGCGTTCGCACTAGATTTCAGCTAACTTTAATGCGTTCTCGCTAGATTTCAGCTAACTTTAATGCGTTCTCGCTAGATTACAGCTAACTTTAATGCGTTCTCGCTAGATTACAGCTAACTTTAATACGTTCTCGCTAGATTACAGCTAACTTTAATGCGGTTCTCGCTAGATTACAGCTAACTTTAATGCGTTCTCGCTAGATTACAGCTAACTTTAATGCGTTCTCGCTAGATTACAGCTAACTTTAATGCGTTCTCGCTAGATTACAGCTAACTTTAATGCGTTCTCACTAGATTTCAGCTAACTTTAATGCGTTCTCGCTAGATTTCAGCTAACTTTAATGCGTTCTCGCTAGATTACAGCTAACTTTAATGCGTTCTCGCTAGATTACAGCTAACTTTAATGCGTTTCGCTAGATTACAGCTAACTTAATACGTTCTCGCTAGATTACAGCTAACTTTAATACGTTCTCGCTAGATTACAGCTAACTTTAATGCATTCTCGCTAGATTACAGCTAACTTTAATACGTTCTCGCTAGATTACAGCTAACTTTAATACGTTCTCGCTAGATTACAGCTAACTTTAATACGTTCTCGCTAGATTACAGCTAACTTTAATACGTTCTCGCTAGATTACAGCTAACTTTAATACGTTCTCGCTAGATTACAGCTAACTTTAATACGTTCTCGCTAGATTACAGCTAACTTTAATACGTTCTCGCTAGATTACAGCTAACTTTAATACGTTCTCGCTAGATTACAGCTAACTTTAATACGTTCTCGCTAGATTACAGCTAACTTTAATGTTGCCTTCCAACATGAGAAACGTTCCTCATCCCTGTATACACATATGCTGCTATGTATGACAATTTATGTACCTGTATTTATGTATACCTGTATCTGAATAAACTTAATCGAGTAAATACAACTGTGGAAGGTTGTAAATAATAACATCGGGAGAATTACAATGGAAAAATTATTTATAATTACCGTGGCTGGTACAATCTGTGAAAGATTGTGGATAACGATACCATCTGTTACAATAAGCTGGTGTAATAGATGGCCAGCTGTTTTGTAGAAGTTATAGTGAGTGACCCGTGTGTGTGTGTGTGTGTGTGTATGTGTGTGTGTGTGTACTCACCTATTTGTGGTTGCAGGGGTCGAGTCACAGCTCCTGGCCCCGTGTGTGTGTGTGTGTGTGTGTGTGTGTGTGTGTGTGTGTGTACTCACCTATTTGTGGTTGCAGGGGTCGATTCACAGCTCCTGGCCCCGTGTGTGTGTGTGTGTGTGTGTGTGTGTGTGTGTGTGTGTGTGTACTCACCTAATTGTACTCGCCTAATTGTGGTTGCAGGGGTCGAGACTCAGCTCCTGGCCTCGCCTCTTCACTGATCGCTACTGGATCCTCTCTCTCTCTGCTTCCTGAGCTTTGTCATACCTCTTCTTAAAACTATGTATGGTTCCTGCCTCCACTACTTCACTTGCTAGGCTATTCCACTTGCTGACAACTCTATGACTGTATGTATGTGTGTGTGTGTGTGTGTGTGTGCTCACCTAGTTGACCTAGTTGAGGTTGCAGGGGTCGAGTCCAAGCTCCTGGCCCCGCCTCTTCACTGGTCGCTACTAGGTCACTCTCCCTGAACCGTGAGCTTTATCATACCTCTGCTTAAAATTATATATGGATCCTGCCTCCACTACATCGCTTCCTAAACTGTTCCACTTCCTGACTACTCTGTGGCTGAAGAAGTACTTCCTAACATCCCTGTGATTCATCTGTGTCTTCAACTTCCAACTGTGTCCCCGTGTTGCTGTGTCCCATCTCTGGAACATCCTGTCTTTGTCCACCTTGTCAAGGTAGACAAAGACAGGATGTTCCAGAGATGGTGTGTGTTAGTGACCCTTGTGTCTATTAGGTACCCATGTATGTGTGTGTATGTTAGGGACCCCTGTATCTGTTAGGTACCCATGTATATGTGTGTGTTAGGGACCCCTGAGTCTGTTAGGTACCCATGTATGTGTGTTAGGGACCCCTGTATCTGTTAGGTACCCATGTATATGTGTGTGTTATGGACCCCTGTATCTGTTAGGTACCCATGTATATGTGTGTGTGTTAGGGACCCCTGTATCTGTTAGGTACCCATGTATATGTGTGTGTGTTATGGACCCCTGTGTCTGTTAGGTACCCATGTATATGTGTGTATGTTAGGGACCCCTGTATCTGTTAGGTACCCATGTATATGTGTGTGTGTCAGTGACCCCCCCCCCCCCCGTGTCTATAAGTTAGGGAAAAATATACAGCAGTCAATATTAATGGTGAATCCAGGAAGTGACAGAAAATTCTTAACATGAAGCCCCTTCCGGATAGTAAGGGGAGAGGGGAGAGTCCCCCTGAGGTGGTGATGGGAAATTCCCCTTCTGTGCTGAGGGAAAGTTCCCTATAGCAACTTGGAGGGCTGAGTGTAAGCTCACGAAGACGGTACTGCCTCCAGCCGCGCTGACGTCCACGTTTTCATCCACAGTAAATCAATGATGGGAGGTAACGGGAGTTGGTGCTACCATTAAAACTGATGTTTAGCCGGTTACCTGCAGCTGTTGGTGGTAGTGAAGGTATTAGCAGCTGCTGTTGGTGGTAGTGTGCTGTGTGTATGAAGGTTTAGCAGCAGCTGTTGGTGGTAGTGAAGGTATTAGCAGCTGCTGTTGGTGGTAGTGAAGGTATTAGCAGCTGTTGGTGGTAGTGAAGGTATTAGCTGCTGCTGCTGTTGGTGGTAGTGAAGGTATTAGCAGCTGCTGTTGGTGGTAGTGAAGGTATTAGCAGCTGTTGGTGGTAGTGAAGGTATTAGCTGCTGCTGCTGTTGGTGGTAGTGAAGGTATTAGCTGCTGCTGCTGTTGGTGGTAGTGAAGGTATTACCTGCTGCTGCTGTTGGTGGTAGTGAAGGTATTAGCTGCTGTTTTGGTGGTTGTGAGAGTGTTACCTGTTGGTGTAGTAGTGAGGGTGTTACCTGTTGGTGTAGTAGTGAGGGTGTTACCTGTTGGTGTAGTAGTGAGGGTGTTACCTGTTGGTGTAGTAATTAGTGAGGGTGTTAGTCGATTCTCTGTCAAACAGAATGAAGCTCACACCCGTCATTCACCTGTTTTCCAGTACATCTCCTCTGTGTAAGTTATTACTCACACCTGACTCTCAGACACATTTCAGTTTGCCCAAGGCATCGGTCTTTCGCTTAAGTTGATATTTCTATAATTACCGGGATGCCTGCAGAGACCTCGGGGAACTATCAGTTGTTTTAGCATTCACAACTCAAGTTTTTTTTAACTGGTATGCATTTTAACTTAGTGTGATAGGATTAATGTACGTGAAAAACTCTTCAGTAATAGTTTTTTATATATTTTTATATATTGAATGTTCTTGTAAGTTTTAATTTATATTGCAAGGGGAATTGAGTAATCAGTTTTGTGTTTGCATCTATGTACATTCACAAATGTGTAAATCAGTTTTGTGTTTGCATCTATGTACATTCACAAATGTGCAAATAAGACATAATATGCGCTTTATGGATTTTATTGAGGAAACGTTTCGCCCTACCAGATATAGTTTTGGTGAACTGCATATTGTCTTAACACGCTTGAGTACATCTAGGTGAGTAATTTAAATACATGTGAGTACATTTAGGTGAGTAAAGTACATGTGAGTACATCTAGGCGAGTAATTTAAGTACATGTGAGTACATTTAGGTGAGTAAAGTACTTGTGAGTACATCTAGGTGAGTAATTTAAGTATATGTGAATGAGTACATCTAGGTGAGTAAAGTACTTGTGAGTACATCTAGATGAGTAATTTAAGTACATGTGAGTGAGTACATCTAGGTGAGTACGAAGAAGCTGTGGTAGTATAGATATTGCTGAAGAATTAAACACATGTACATCTGGGTATCTTTATTGTAGACGTTTCGCCCTCCAGTGGCTTTATCAACACAAATTGAAGGACATAACTGGAAGACTGTAGAGCTATATACTGCTTCTATATACAGTGTAGAAGCAAAAATCGCGACCAAGCGATACAAGATGCAAAACAACCATGAGGGGATGTTGATAGGTCTAGGCCTTTCGTGTTGCAATCAACACGTCAGGAGCTTGCAATGTTGCAGATAGGAGGAGGTCCAGTCAATGCGTTTAGAGGAAGAGTCTTTGCTTGAGCAAAGGTGCTTCCTATAAACTCATTTGCTTGGAATTCTTCCTCTTTTCTGCAACAGCTTCTGATGTGTTGATTGCAACACGAAAGGCCTAGAGCTGTCATTCAACTCCCCCACTGGTTCTGCACAGTGTTGATGTTAACAGTGGTGCTCTCCTCAGTTCTGTGGCAGACATGCCTTCACCTGCCACTCCAAGAGGCCAGGTGCTGTCCATGAGTGAGGTATCCCCTCCTGAGGAGTACTTCCGTGGGGTATCCCCGCTCTGCCGCAGGATGCTGGACGACATGACCGCCGTGCGGGAGGCCTACGGTGACCGCTGGAACGGCCTCTCCTACCACCAACAGTGTCGTGTTATTGATCAAGCCATTGTAGACGAGGTGGGCCCACACTCCCTTATTGTAATAAGTATCCCAGACACTCTTATTTTGTAGACAGTTGAGTTACTTAGATGTTTTAACCTTTAAGGTCTAAATAATAAGCTATTACAAGGATCCCAATGGAAATAAGTCACACTTTCTTGGTTATCCTACGTAATTCACACACATGTTAATATCTGCGGCTAGCCGGGGATCGAACCCGTGTTATTTTTAGCCCACCTCTTGGGAAGCAAGTCAAAATTCACGACGCTCTAACCACTGAACCAGCAATCCTGTAGAGTTCGATCCCCGGCTAGCCTTAGTTTGATAAATACTTACAAAGCACTTGTGGTTGTATTAATGTTACTATGCATGATAATTTGTATAATTGTCATTGTGTACCTGTACCTAAATAAACTTACCCTGATGGGTTTACCGCTTCCCCATGCATGTAATGATATAATTTCTAGCTACATGCAGATATAACTTTACAACTATAAATATTAATAGATATTCGTATTGTCACGTATTTCTATGTATCTTATGGCTGTTATACGAAGGCTTATTCATGGGGAAGCCCTAAAGTCGCAGGGGTCAAACAGTGCATGGGGAATGGATGGTAATCAGGTGTGATTCGGCTAAGCTAAAATTCCTGAGTCACGAAGAATCCTTCACCAGCGTCTAGGTAATCTTTGGCGGGTTTGATCAACCTTGATACTAAGGACTAGTTATAATTTATATCCTGCAAGAGTCCTTGGCTTGTTTGGTGGCGAGTCATCACCAGGTCTGTGGTCTTCTTGTCGTCTAGGTCTGGTGTGGTCTTCAAGACCAAATCAAGTGTATCTCAGCTTCTCAAGGATCATTGTTTTATCGTGTCATCTCTACAACTCCCCCTCAAGTGGCACTTGAAGCTGACGCTCTTACGTTCTCAGTTTATAAACACGAGCTTATAATATTCAATTAAAGCTTCCTTGAATTCCATACATTTCCTTTACTGTTAAATACCACATTTTGCATATATTTAAATCATACTTTTTTTTAATGTTTGTACATTACTTGAGCTATTTTGCATGACTATAATTTATCTCTTAACACTACATAATTTTTCACTGGCACTGATGCCTTTTACTGCCACTTTACAGACGTCACAAACCCGAAATGCTTTGCATAACAAGGGACTTTCTGTCTATTATGACAGTGATATCAGCTATTCTCTATACATTGTACATGTAGAAATTAGAGGTTATTACTGTAACTCATTCCAAAATCATTTTAGTAATATAATTCGTGCTATAACGTGTGCGGATCTCAGTCGTGTCTGGGAAGGTGGCGACAGGCGCCGCCACGCCTCACCGATGTGAAACTAGACCTGACGTTCTAAAATAAATATGACAGGGATATATCAGGTTAAATGGTTGAAAGAGACGAGACCAAGAACTATAACTCGCCACCCAAATCAAATAGCTTGGTGATACCTATATAATATATATATATATATATATATATATATATATATATATATATATATATATATATATATATATATATATATATATATATATATATATATATTATAATGTTAATGTTGCAGTTTAAAAACTGTAGTGTAAAGCATCCTTCTGGCAAGACAGTGATGGAGTGAATGATGGTGAAAGTTTTTCTTTTTCGGGCCACCCTGCCTTGGTGGGAATCGGCCAGTGTGATAATAAAAAATATATATATATTATGTGTGTGTGTGTGTGTGTGTGTGTGTGTGTGTGTATTGATAAATTAGACACATGTGCAACTCTTGGGTATCTTTATTGAGGAAACGTTTCGCCACACAGTGGCTTCATCAGTCCATACGTAGGAGAAACTTGAAGAACAGGAGGAGAATGAGGTAATCAGTCCCTCAACCTTGAGTCGATGTGTTCAGTCCATCAATCTTGAATAGAATATGGCATATCAGCGGAGAAGCAGCTTATAAACCGTATGGCAGGAGAGGTGCAGCTGCACCTCTCCTGCCATACGGTGGCGAAACGTTTCCTCAATAAAGATACCCGAGAGTTGCACGTGTCTAATTTATCAACATGTCGGTTCTCTGAACCATTCATCTACAAATGTGTGTGTATTGCCCAGTTTTAATACTGTTTGTGTATTGCTGTAATTTTAGTTCAAGGCCAAACAGGAAAAAATACTTGTATTAACATTACAGCGACAAAAATACGGTATTCATGTTGATTCATGTGGGATATTTTACCCACCTCATTGATTTCCAAAATACTGAGAAACTTGTAACCAGGTCCGTGGCCTGGTGGGAAAAGCTCTCGCTTCACACGATGGAATTCCCGGGTTCGATTCCCGGCGAGGGTAGAAACATCGGACGTGTTTCCTTATACCGGATGTCTATGTTAACCCATCAGTAAAATGGTGTGGGTCACATCCTGGGACAAAATTGACCTAATTTGCCCAATATACTCACCATAACAAGCGGCTTTCTGTATAGTAGTATGTCATTGATGTCAGCTATGGTCTGTATACCTTGTACATGTACTGGTAGAAATAAGGATTTATTATTATTATTATTATTATTATTATTATAAAAGGGACACCCTTGTCATATTTTTTTTCTTAATGCACAGGCGACGGTGCGCCGATATGATGGTGGTACTGACGATGGTCCTGAGTGCGAGTACTTCCCCAAGCTGAAACTCCCAACAGGACAGAAGGTGGTCTGTGACGAGAACCTCACAGCCAGGGGCTTCGTGAGTACTACACTGGCTTCTTCCAAACCACGGTACGGGTGGGGTTTGAACTCGCGGCGAGTTGTAAAACTCCAGGCCAGTGCGTAAGCCACTGGGCCAGTGGGCTACAATAAGATTTATCCAACTAGGTATATATGTGTAGTCACATTTTTGGTCACAGTGGTGATCCATGCTAACCTCCCTATGGTGCATAAATATACTTAAATGGTTGAATTTATTGTAGCCAGTTGGCCCAGTGGCTTATGTACTAGCCTGGAGTTTCACGACTCTTTGCCGCGAGTTTGATTCCCACCCATACCATGGTTTGCAATCGTGTCATTACGATTTTTCTTGCAGTTAACACTCTTCACCTGAGATGCCTTGATGCTCCTGAAGAACTCCCGATCTAAGGAACTGGGGTCACCCTCCACTTTTTTGGATCAAACCTGATTGCTTCCATTCCTCATTCCCAGAGTGCTATATGACCCTTATGACTTTAGCATTTTCCCTTGATTATAATAATTACCTCTTCCATTACTCGCATCAAATCAAATGCCTCCCACCCTTCCCTCTACTTTTTGCCATAGTGGGGATATTTTCTCTTTTGTGAAACCCAGCTCCGCTACAGAAAGAAAAGGATTTGCTGTTACTCTTGTTCTAATATTTGCATTTTATCAGGAAAGGAGCTAAACCTGTACGGGATCATATAGCAACTTAGGAATGGGAAACATTTAGGGATTGATAAGTCCAGTTCCTTGGATCAAGAGCTCCTCAATGACATGAAGCTACTCTTCTAGAGGGATATTATCACATAGCTTCCATCTGCAGTAATGTGATGGTCAGTGGAGGGCCTACATTTTTGGGGCCCTGAAGCTTGAACTGTTATAGGGGCCCATTTGCAACCCTTTCTCATACAGAAGACCCAGATCTTTAAGCAATGTGGACTAAAGTGGCTTCTGGGGCCCCTCCTGGATTAGGGGCCCCTGAAGCTTAAGCTTTATTACTTTCAAAGTAGATCCTCCCCTGGTAATAGGTAGCTTCTCCTGATGGAAATTTAATCATCTTAGGATACCAGATAATCCTCAGGTGAGACATGGGGTGGCCATCTGTCAAGATCTCTGATTATGGAAGTACTACTGAAGGTTTAAAAAAAAAGAAATAATGGTTACAAATGACCATAATTTTTAAAGGGGTGGACCGGTAAGCCAGCGGGAGGGGTTGGATTTGAGTGGGACTTGCACATCGGAGCTTGTTTCTTGGGTGGCATTGAAAATTGGGTTGGGCAAATGTTTTGTTAGTGGGATGAATTCTAAAGGACCTGCCTAGTATGGGCCAACAGGCCTGCTGCAGTGTTCCTCCTTTCTTATGTTCTTATGTTCTTATGTTCTTATGTCAGATGACCAAAAGCTCCGAAGGCGGGTCACCTGACTAAGACGCGGGTCATCTGACTAAGACCCGCGTCAGGAAACATTTGCCCTGTTTCCTGGCGAACCTAACCTAACCTAACCTACTGAAGGTTGCCTGCGTATCTGAGAGTGGTAACTGAGTGAGTGCGGCTCCTTTCGTTCTTGCCAGTCTGCCCACGACGATCATTAGCTGGAAGCTGAATGCACAGTTCGCATTTGTTTAAGGCGGTTTTGTTAACTCTTGTACAGTCAGTTCTGGAGGTGTCATCCTGGTGTTGCAATACAGGTAAGATAAGAGGTAATTTCTTGGGGTAGCATATATCATGTGGTTCTTTAACCTTTAATAGCCAAAATATTGCTCATAAGAATTCAAAAAATCTTATGCGATGGACCGGGCCGGGGGGGCGTTGACCCCCGGAACTCTCTCCAGGTAAACTCCAGGTAAACTCCAGTTCTTCGAAGTTAACTTAAAACAATTAATTTGGTTTCTGAACTGAATAAAAAAAGTTCTTTAGTGTTGGCTAGTGTAATCTAAGAATTGACATAAATAATTTAAGTTTTCTTTCGAGGGTGATGCTGAATTAAGTGATACCCCCTAATCCACCCCTCTCCCCAAATAAAAATTACATTATCCCTTCTGTGGACTGCCATAATGCCGGTGAAGAACTCTTGCTCTGAGGAGCCGAAGCTGCACTTCCCTTCTTCAGATTGAACTTGATTGCCTTTAAATCTTTAGGGGCTGTTTAACTCTTGCGAGTTTATGGTTTTCTCGTGACTGTAACAATAGTAATTGCGCCTTTATCTCTTTGGCAGTCTTGCAGCTGGAGGGACGAGCACTCTGCACCTTTCTCGTGGCACACTCGCTCACAGATGGATCTAACACTGGACACGCCGCCAGCAACACCTTCACACCCCAGCACACCTGTGGAGGCGCCACCCACTACTGTAGCAGGGGAAGGTCGCCTCATACCTGGCGGCAGAGCAGTGTACACGGCAAGACCGGTGTCATTACCTCGACCACCACGGTTTCGCTGGCACTACGACCCCCCGGACGACCCTCCATCTGTGGTCGTTTCTGCCCCAAGGTCTGCCTCAGACCTAAACTGTGACGCTCAACGGACACCGCCCAGGACATCAAAATATATGTTAGTACGTGGAAAGGGTGAGCAGGGTGATAACAATGGCTTTCTGGCACGAATTCGTGGCATGGTGGTAGCTCTCACTGCTACTTGCTTGCCTCTGCGAGCTCCCCAGGGCCAGACTTCTCTACTATCTCTACATCGAGCATCTGAAAGTGGTGGAGAGCCTGATTTGCGACCTCTCACCGTACATGCTAAGAAGGTACACATTGTGAGGAGTCAGACTAATGCTCCACCATGTGACACATCCCAACACAACGCATCCAGCAGCAGCAGCAGCCATACAGATGTCAAAACTGAAGAGGGTGGTAGCAAGCTTCCCTCACTATCAGCACTCGCCAGTGATCCTGCTCTTGTGGGTTACGTTTGCTCCCTCCCCGAGGATGACGATGATACCCCCTACACAGTGGCTTACCTTCCAGGGGCCACACATAGCCCAGCTGCAGGGCGTACAACACCTCAAACTCCTTCAGATGTAGAGAATCACTCGAAGGCCGCTACAACCATCTACATACCTCCGCTTGCAGATCTTCCCACTCCCATGCCTACACCAACTATCAGTGATGAAACACAATCGACCACCTGCACTTTCTCACAGCCAGCTACCTCGTCGCCCCGGTTACCGTCCTCTCACTCTCCTACCACACTTGATGATGCCTTCAGTGCCACTTCTGAGCCAGACTCTACAATGGATGCCCTCGACACCCCACGGGAGGAGCAACCCCTGCTTCATATAGATAAATATCTGGAGTCTGAGGAGGATTCAGAGCCGTTGTTCAGTTCAGTTTTATCCACAAAGAGAGAGGTAAGATTGTGGTCATTATATCCCTAAGAAATAATTTAGTCTAAAAAAAAAATCTAAGGTTACCTAAGCAAAACATTTTTCCCTCAATCCAAAGGTTAGGTAAGTTAAGCTGTTTTATATTATGTAAATATCTGCAAGGTAAGTATGGAAAAGAACACTTGTGTATAGTTCAAAATATTTATTAAGGGAAATGTTTTGCCACGAGAGGCTTCATGTCCTGATACAGAGTAAGCTAAAAGGGCGTCATGTAGCGAAGAGCGCAGGTGCCTCGTAGCAATGGTAAGGCGAGTCAGGAACTACACCAGGCTGCAGAAAGTAAGTTGAACAAATGTAAATATCACATCATTTATAGTCATTTATAAGATTATTATTATTGCATTCATGGGGAGAGTGTTAAACCTATAAGCAACGCATAGCGCCTGGCGCAATGGAGGACATTCAGAATCAATTCAAGGAATTGGAACTCGGCTCCAATTACTTACATCAAGAGCCTCTCACCAGATAATAATAATAATGAGTTTATTTAGCATATATAAGTCTCACTTAAAGAAAATTTCCTCTTTTCAGAGCACAATACCCAAGACAGGCTTTGACTTCCTCGACAATTGGTAAGTTAGAAACCCGGGTCAGGAGAAGTCAGGTCATGTGGCTCAGCCAAGTCATGTGACTCAGCCAGCATATCACAGCCAGGTCAAGTATAACTACAAGGTCAATTACAATGGCTGAGCAATTCTCATGGCCGTGGAAAATAGAAGTGAATAAATTATATAGAAATAATGATATTGAGCAAGAGGTATGAGCAACTTCTAGCATAAGGAGTGGAGGTGTCCCAATTCTCCAACTAATTGCTAAACAAATTACTCTCACTGGAAAACTTTCTCTCGAAAGCGGGTTAAGAAGAATAAAAGGCACAATACCGTGACTGGAAAAATACACAAATTACCCGCACATAGAGAGGAGCTTACTACGACGTTACGGTCTCCTTTTCGCTAGTGTGACTTTGTAAATGGTCCAAGTCGTACTGAAACGTCGTCGTAATCTTCTCTCATAAGTTTGTCTAGTAAATACGGGTTATTTGCGAGTTAGAACGTAATGAGGTATGGTGTAGATTTAAGAATGCAGCGCTAGCAAGCAGAGAAGTTATGGTTATTGAAGCGTGGGTGTGGAAGGGAGAAGCAATGACTGGTGGAATGATGAAGTTAGAAAAAGATAAAATTGAAAAAATTAGTATAAGATTATTTTACAATTAAAAAAATAGGCAGAGGCAGAGAAAGTTCTTACAGGTGGGTTCAGTAGGTACAGTTAAAGAGAACTTTATATGCAAAGTTAAATCACCAGACCTCCAAGTGATATCTTTTAATTCTGGGACCTAAGCGACTGTGACCAGTAGGAATATGATGAGAAATGCAACAGATGTCACTCATTAAGACTCCAAATGGTGACTGAAAAAGCTAAATGATGACTGCAAAGACTGACCTCTACATTTACATGTTAGTAAGCAAATACAGGTCAATGTGACACAGGTTCCTTAGAGAAGCCTCGTATATAATACTAACTCCTGCAAAACACCAAATTGACGAGGCACTTCAAAATACAACAGTTATCCTTAAATGTTGTTTTCTATAGGCTTCTCATTCTCTTTCCATTGTACCTTACACAGCACGTTAAGGTATAATAATATAACCAAGCGCTAAACCCTAAGGGGTCGTGCACATAAAAAGTATATAGTATTAACATTAATGGTAGCAAGCGACGTTCGTATATTCTGTACACCGAGAGGTCTATATCATTCAGTATGTGTAAACAGTTTACCTTAATCCCTATATTAGGGATGAATATATTCTCAGCTGGTGGTGGTGCACTCGTGGTGTACCCTTGCAGTCGATAGGCTTCAAACCTTACAAACCAACGTAATAAACTCGAACATAAATATCTCCTAGATATAATAACATGCAAATATATATATATATATATATATATATATATATATATATATATATATATATATATATATATATATATATATATATATATATATATATATATATTATATATATATATATATATATATATATATATATATATATTATATATCAATATAATCTAATGGTTTTCCCCAATGTCAATGTGGTAGGGTACAATTATTCACAATGGTAGGGTATAAAGTTATAATTTTTATTACATGTAAAACGTATACAGACCATAGCTCACACCAAGGACATAAAGAGTCCCTTGTTATGCAGAGGATTTCGGGCAAATTAGGTCAGTTTTATCCCCAGGATGCGACCCACACCAGTCGGCTAACACCTAGGTACCTACTTACTGCTAGGTGAACAGGGACAGCAGGTGTCTTAAGGAAACACGTCCTGTTCCCATTCGTACCGGGGATCGAACCACGGACCTCAATGTGCGAGTTGAGTGCGTTAGCAATCGAGTAAATTTACTGAGGTATACGTACACGTAAGTACAATTATTATACCTAGTAACACGCGTATATTACCTAGGATAACACAAAAATGTCGAAATGAATGTGTATCTACATTTACAGTGATGGTATCGTGCACTCTATTACATATACTCAGTGGTGGACCTACATTTTTGGGGCCCCTCAAGTTTGAACTGTCTCTTCTAGGCCCCCTCCGGGATAAGGGGCCCTGAAGCTTAATTAGTCTCACAGTAGATCCGGTCACAGTGTTCCATAAATATCACCACTAACACTACTCAAAAAAAAAAAAAACACTTAATGACTGGTATAATTCCTTTGGAAAGAATACAAGATGAGATAAACTATTTCCTATCGTCAGTCGCTCGTGTGGGTGTATGATCCACTTAATATTTGTATTTATAACTCATTACAATTGTGACCAGGTGTGGACGTATCAGTGGTTCATTACTTTGTAATTTGTTCATGACTGTAACCATGTATAGGAGTGAAGCTGATTCATTACCTCTGTAACTTGCCATGATTAGTGACCAGATCTACCTGGAGTTCATTACCTTTGTGACTAGTTCAGCTATCATAACTTTGGGGTCCAGTCCCTGGACCAATTATGTACCTCTGTAATCTTTTGACTACCGCCCACAGGATGGGTATGGGGTGCATAATAAACATATTAAACTAAACTAGTGTCTCAGGACACTTAACTCTTTTTCTATGATCTTTAGCGATGTGTTAGATTTTTTCACTGATAATAAAATCTTATACTCCAGATATTTATTCTTATTAACCCTTCTATAACAATAAAGTATATGGTGCAACTTATACAGACCATAGCTGACATCAATGAGATACTGTATGGAAAGCCCCTTTTATTCAGAGTATTTTGGGCAAATTAGGTCAATTTTGTCCCCAGGATGCGACCCACATCAGCGCTATACGACCCTAGTGGGTTTAGCGCCTAGTTAAGATTGTAATAATATCCTACATGCTCTTTCGTCATTGTTTAGAAAGCCTAAGATTATTAATGATTTTATGAAAAGGGGAATGAGGAGTGGCAATTGCATACCAGGGCATTCCCTTCGTCCCTGTCTTACCGGGACGATGCTGGTTGTACCGGGAGTGCTGGTTGTACCGGGAGAGTGCTGGTTGTACCGAGAGAGTGCTAGTTATACCGGGAGTGCTGGTTATACCGGGAGAGTGCTGGTTGTACCGGGAGTGCTGGTTATACCGGGAGTGTGCTGGTTGTACCGGGAGAGTGCTGGTTGTACCGGGAGTGCTGGTTGTACCGGGAGTGTGCTGGTTATACCGGGAGTGTGCTGGTTGTACCGGGAGAGTGTGGTTTACCGGAGCTAGTGATTGGTTGTACCGGGAGTGTGTTGTCGATTGTTGTACCGGGAGAGTGCTGGTTGTACCGGAGTGGCTGGTTGTACCGGAGGATGTTTACGTTGCTGGTTATAACTGGGAGTAGTGCTGGTTGTACCGGGAGATGCTGGTTGTATCCGCGACGGAGTGTGGTTGTACCGGGATAGTGCTGGTTGTACCGGGAGTAGTGCTGGTTTATACTGGGAGGTGCTGGTTTCCGATTATTTACCGGGAGTTGCTGGTTGTACCGGGAGTTGCTGGTTATACCGGGAAGTGCTGGTTGTACCGGGAGTCTGGCTGTACCGGGAGAGTGCTGGTCTGTACCGGGAGAGTGCTGGTTGTACCGGGAGTGCGAGTTTGTACCGGGATGATGCTGGTTATACCGGGAGTGCTGGTTGTACCGGGAGTGCTGGTTGTACCGGGAGAGTGCTGGTTGTACCGGGAGTGTGCTGGTTGTACCGGGAGAGTGCTGGTTATACCGGGAGTGTGCTGGTTGTACCGGGAGAGTGCTGGTTGTACCGGGAGTGCTGGTTGTACCGGGAGTGCTGGTTGTACCGGGAGTGCTGGTTGTACCGGGAGGGTGCTGGTTGTACCGGGAGGTGCTGGTTATACGGGAGTGCTGTTGACGGAGTGCTGGTTGTACCGGGAGAGTGCTGGTTGTACCGGAGGTGCTGGTTGTACCGGGAGTGTGCTGGTTGTACCGGGAGTGTGCTGGTTGTACCGGGAGTGCTGGTTGTACCGGGAGTGTGCTGGTTGTACCGGGAGAGTGCTGGTTGTACCGGGAGTGCTGGTTGTACCGGGAGTGTGCTGGTTGTACCGGGAGAGTGCTGGTTGTACCGGGAGTGTGCTGGTTGTACCGGGAGTGTGCTGGTTGTACCGGGAGAGTGCTGGTTGTACCGGGAGTGCTGGTTATACCGGGAGTGCTGGTTGTACCGGGAGTTGCTGGTGTGTTACCGGGAGTGCTGGTTGTACCGGATGCGATACGGAGTGCTGGTTGTACCAGGGGAGTGCTGGTTGTACCGGGAGAGTGCTGGTTGTACCGGGAGTGCTGGTTGTACCGGGAGAGTGCTGGTTGTACCGGGAGTGCTGGTTGTACCGGAGTGCTGGTTGTACCGGGAGAGTGCTGGTTGTACCGGGAGAGTGCTGGTTGTACCGGAGTGCGGTGTACGGAGTGCTGGTTATACGGGAGGTGCTGGTTGTACCGGGAGGTGCTGGTTGTACCGGGAGGTGCTGGTTGTACCGGGGAGTGCTGGTTGTACCGGGAGATGCTGGTTACGGAGTGCTGTTGTACCGGGAGTGTGGTTGTACCGGGAGAGTGCTGGTTGTACCGGGAGTGCTGGTTGTACCGGGAAGTGCTGGTTGTACCGGAGGCTGTTAGGATGCGGTTGTACCGGGAGAGTGCTGGTTGTACCGGGGAGTGCTGGTTGTACCGGGAGAGTGCTGGTTGTACCGGGAGAGTGCTGGTTGTACCGGGAGAGTGCTGGTTGTACCGGGAGTGCTGGTTGTACCGGGAGAGTGCTGGTTATACCGGGAGAGTGCTGGTTGTACCGGGAGTGCTGGTTGTACCGGGAGAGTGCTGGTTATACCGGGAGTGCTGGTTGTACCGGGAGAGTGCTGGTTGTACCGGGGGAGTGCTGGTTGTACCGGGAGAGTGCTGGTTGTACCGGAGAGTGCTGGTTGTACCGGGAGTGCTGGTTGTACCGGGAGTGCTGGTTGTACCGGGAGTGCTGGTTGTACCGGGAGAGTGCTGGTTATACCGGGGGAGTGCTGGTTGTACCGGGAGAGTGCTGGTTGTACCGGGAGAGTGTGGTGTACGGAGTGCTGGTTGTACCGGGAGAGTGCTGGTTGTACCGGGAGAGTGCTGGTTGTACCGGGAGAGTGCTGGTTATACCGGGAGTGCTGGTTGTACCGGGAGAGTGCTGGTTATACCGGGAGTGCTGGTTGTACCGGGAGTGCTGGTTGTACCGGGAGAGTGGTTGTACCAGAGTGCTGTTGAGTACGGGAGAGTGCTGGTTGTACCGGGAGAGTGCAGGTTATACTGGGAGAGTGCTGGTTGTACCGGGAGTGCTGGTTGTACCGGGAGAGTGCTGATTATACTGGAAGTGCTGGTTGTACCGGGAGAGTGCTGGTTGTACCGGGAGAGTGCTGGTTGTACCGGGAGAGTGCTGGTTGTACCGGGAGTGCTGGTTGTACGGAGTGCTGGTTGTACCGGGAGAGTGCTGGTTGTACCGGGAGTGCTGGTTGTACCGGGAGAGTGCTGGTTGTACCGGGAGAGTGCTGGTTGTACCGGGAGTGCTGGTTGTACCGGGAGAGTGCTGGTTATACCGGGAGTGCTGGTTGTACCGGGAGAGTGCTGGTTGTATCGGGAGTGCTGGTTGTACCGAGAGCTGGTTATACTGGGAGTGTGTTGGTTGTACCGAGTGTGCTGGTTTTACTGGGAGAGTGCTGGTTGTACTGGGAGTGTGCTGATTGTACTGGGAGTGCTGGTTGTACCGAGAGCTGGTTATACTGGGAGTGTGTTGGTTGTACCGAGTGTGCTGGTTGTACTGGGAGTGTGCTGATTGTACCGGGAGTGCTGGTTGTACCGGGAGTGCTGGTTGTACCGGGAGAGTGCTGGTTGTACCGGGAGTGCTGGTTGTACCGGGAGTGCTGGTTGTACCGGGAGAGTGCTGGTTGTACCGGGAGTGCTGGTTATACTGGGAGTGTGTTGGTTGTACCGAGAGAGTGCTGGTTGTCCTGGGAAAGTGCTGGTTGTACGGGAAAGTGCTGGTTATACCAGTAGAGTGCTGGTTGTACGGGAAAGTGCTGGTTGAACCGAGGGAGTGCTGGTTGTACCGGGAGTGCTGGTTGTACCGGGAGAGTACTAGTTGAATCGAGTGCTGGTTATACCGGTTAAGTGCTGGTTGTACCGGGTGAGTGAGGGTTATACCAGGAGATTGTTGGTTGTACCGGGAGAGTACTAGTTGTACCGAGTGCTGGTTGTACCGGGAGTGCTGGTTGTACCGTGAGTACTAGTTGTACCGGGAGTGTTGGTTGTAACAGGAGAGTGCTGATTGTACCGGGAGAGTGCTGGTTGTACCAGAGTGCTAGTTGTACCAGGAGAATGCTGGTTGTACTGGGAGTACTGGTTGTTCCGGGGGAGTGCTGGTTGTACCGGGAGAGTGCTGGTTG